TACATGGCAGAGACGCATCTTCCCGCCTCTTTGCCTTTGCTTCGGCCATGCCCTCTGCCTGGTAGACCCTCCATTTTCTGTCAACACTGCACACGTCCTTGACGGCCCGCTTCCCACCCTCCCTCTCCCTGAACCCCCCGCCCCCCACTCCACGCGGTGCCCAAGCACATTCATTCTTTCTCCTCCATAAGGGCTGATAAGCCCATGCCATGTCCAACCTTTCCCGAGAACACATTCTGATGAGACTGCAGTCCCTGCAGTTCTCTGCTTCCTCCCGCTGCGCCCTCACCCTTCCTGCGCACAGCTGTCCTCAAGGACCCCAGGAGGAGGGTGTGCCCCCCAGAACGTCCTGCCCCTCCGGCCGACCCTGCTGCTAAGTCAGCGGGCAGTGCCTGTTGACTCGACCTCCACCTCTGGTGACGAAGGCAAGACGGGTCTGTGTCACGGGACGAGAGGACCCTAGGATGAGCGGCAGGACACCCCCATTTTGCGGGGTGCCCTTTCTCAGCCCTGCGCTCCTCTTCGAGCGCTGCTGGCCCATCACGTCCCCTCCCTCTCCCTCTCCCCGCACAGTAGACGTGCGGCAGCCGTGTCCTTCATTCAGCGCACACACTGACACGGCTGCGTGTGTGCCATGTGCATGACGGCCGCATTGTCATGAACCCCAAACGCCTTCTGCTTCTCGGGACCCCAGGTCGCTGAGATGGAGACCTGCCACTGCCTGGGCAACGGGCTGACTGCAGCCTGTGTCAGGGTGCACGCCCCCCAGATGCGCGAGCTCGTCGATGAGCAATCCGAAGCATCATGAGGAGGGCGGAGGGAGGGCCAGCCCCGACCGGAGACATGCTGGTTGCCTCTGTGTCTGCAACACATGCGGCACGTCTGTAAGTTAGTAAGAAAGAAGCCCAACTGCCCGCCCCCGAACAAAGGCCCGAGAGGGGCTCCGACGGTCTGCGGGGGGTGCAGAGAGCGGGTCAGGTCGCAGAGGCGTGCCAGCGAGGCCCGCGGAGAGGCCGCAGAGGGCAATTCTCTGAAAGACGTACAAAGGCTTTAAAAAAATAAGTAGGGGGATAAGAAGTACAAGAGAGAACGGGGAGGGCGATAGAGGACGAGCTGGAAAATGAAGGAATTACGGATCTCACTTGAAAAATTAGTTTTAGAAAGCACAAATAAGCCAAAAGAAGGGACGGTAGGGATGTTCTTTTACCCTCACCTGAGGACATGTTTTATTGCTTTTGGGCAGGGGGGTGGGGGGGGGGGGGGGGGGGGCTGAGAGAGGGCAACGTCCATTTGTTGCCTTCTCAAATGCGCCTGGGCGACCCGGGGCCACTCCCGGCCTGGATGTGCGCTCTGCCCCGAAAGCAAACCCTCAGCCTTTCCGTCTACAGGACAATGGTCCAGTCAACTGAACACGCCAGCCGGGTGGGGATTTCTTAAATAAAAGGTGAGCTTGTTGAAGAAAAGTAGCAAACACAAGCAGTGTTCAAGAGCTTTTCTATGTAATAACTGGTGTAAGTTCATCGCAGCGCATTGAGGGAGGAACCACCGCTGACACCATTCCCACTTCCCAATGGCAGCGGAGGCGCAGGGAGAGGCTTCCTGACCCTCCGGAGACCGTGGGGCCCGCGCCCCCGGGACCGCCGCCAGGCCGTGGGGCCCGTGGCCAGTAAGCAGCACCATGCCTTCCAACCTGAGAGCGCGGAGGGGACACGTAAAACCTGCTTGGAGAGGAAGACTCGCAGCGGGCGGGCTGCAGCAGAGCCCGGGGCGGTGGGGGGGGGGGGGGGGTGCGCGGGGAGCGGCGGCCGCGGCGTGGGAAACGGGGCTCAGGGCGCGCCGGGGCGCCCGCGGCCGAGGGACCGGCTCCTCGCCGGCCGGGCCCGAGCCAGGAGAGAAGTTTCAAAACCGTGTTCTAATTCATTCGTCACTCTTTTGTTGCCTTCTTGGTAGTTTGACTGAGAAGTCATTTCTAACCAGATATTCTTCCAGAAGTTGAGCTTTCCAGACGTGCGGCTTCCGGCCGCGGGGCCCGAGGTCGCGGGAGCGGCCGCGGCCACTGAGGGGCTGCGGGGCCGCACGCAGGCCGAGGGGGCCACGCGTCCACGCGGAGGCCGCACGCGGAGGCCGCACGCGGAGGTCCCGAGGCCCAGGAGCCGCAGGCCGCACGCAGCCCCGGTGCCCACCCGCGGGTGGCTGCACGGTCCAGCTGGTGTCCCCACGCAGCACGGTTCTCCTCGGCGACGAGAAGGGAAGAACTATGAGTGATGCTGCTGAGTGGAAAAGCAAACTGATCTAATGACAGGAAGCAGATCAGTGGTGACGGGCACGAGGAGGGTTTCTTAACTGTCCCACCATCCGCTCGCGCCTGTACCGCAAGGGCGCGGAGACGGAAGAAACGGTTAAGGTGCAGAAGCTGCGCACCCAGAGGGTCCATGGCCTCCCTGGGGGTGCCACCGGGCTCAGGGGCGGCCTCCCCACGTCTCCTGAGTCTCTGTGGGACAGACACCCCCCCCACACACACACCCACACCCACACACTGTGCTGAAACGGCCATTTCCCCTCAGCTCATGACCCCGGCGGAGACCCCGGGAGGCGCGCGCGGGCCGACCGGGCACCGCAGAATCCTCGGCTGGACCCCTCGCTCCCGCGGCTCCTGCCGCGGCCTCGAACCCCTCTCCCGGAACGCACCGCTCCCGTGAGGCGCGCTCGGAGCCAGCAGTGCGGACGGCCATTCCCTCCGAGGGAGGGGGACCCGCCTTACCGGACAGCGCGCGGGGACGGGCCGTGGGCGAAGCCGCCTACCGCGGCCCAGGTGTGGGGGGCCGCCCCTGTCCGCGGGGAAAGCGCGGGGAGGCCTTGGTGCGCCCAGCGGCTCGGGCACAGGCCTCGGGAAGCCGTCCGCGGCCCCGCCCCAGGCGTCGGGCCGAGTCCCGCCGCCGCGCAGAGCGTCCGCGCTGGGCGCAGGCCGGCACCTCCTCCGCACTTCGCGCCCCCGCCGGCCGGGGCTTCTAGCTTCACGGTCCCTTCCTGACCCTCTCAGTTCCCCTTTGCCTGCCTTTTTAGAATAAATTCTCTCCTCCCTTTAGTTGATTTGGTGGCGTGTGTGTGTCTCATTCCTCCTGGAACAAGGCAGGAGAACAGGCATCAAGTCCAAGTTGGAGGAGATGCGGATCCCCCCGTCCCTACCTAAGGCTGCTGAGCGGCTTGCGGGGCGGGCACCAGAGCGGGGATGCAGGCAGCGCTCCGCTGCAGCCACTGACACTCGACCCCCTCAGCCAGGCCTGCCCCGCTCGTCCCACTTCCTGACACCCCCCTCAAGACCAGCTCCCCCAGCCCCTTGTCCTACTGGACGTTCCCTGCCACAGGCCTCAGGGTTCCCGCCTTCAGTGCCGGGCCCGTGTTGAGCAGCATCCTCGGTCTCCACCCACTAGGCGCCACCCCCAACTCACCCCCAACTTGTGGGAACCACAAATGTCTCCCGACTCGCCCAGTGTCCCCTGGGGGCGGGGTGCAGAATCGCCCGGGGTAAGAACCACCATCCATACACCTTCCTTCTCCGTTAGGGCCGTTAGTCACTGACTCTCCCGCCGTCGGGGAACGTTCGCTGCAAGGAGGGCGCCGGCCCTCCTGGGCCCTGCGGGGCGCTGGCCCGCAGATGCAGGCGGGAGCGGAACCCTTCCGTCGCTGCCCGGGTTTCCCGGCCTTTCTAGGCTTTGCGCAGGACCAACCTCAGTGACTTTAGTAGGCAGTTCAAGCCTCCTAGTTGATGACTCTGTGTTCCTTAAAATGTAGACATAAATATTCTGTCGTTAACGGTCAGAACGGCGTGACAAGCGAGATAAATGTGAACCGGTGGTAGTATCCATTGCAACAGGCGTCCATCACAAGGCCACCAGGAGGTGGGGCCCTTGGCGCCAGCCGCCTTCTTCGTCCCCCCACGTGCTGTCGTCATTGCGACCTCACTCACGCTGTCACAAGCACAGCGCCAGGGTCCGGTGGTGGGGTCACCTGCACAGGCCGCGGGGCCGCTGTTCTGCTCCGCCCGATCCTGCCGCCGGCCAATCCCCTGCAGCGCACTCTGTTCCACGCTCCGCTGCTGCCCGCTCCGATCCGCGGCCTGAAGGGCACTTCCCGCCACGGTGCAGTCGCAGCTCCGCGCCACCGTCAGACGACGCCCAGTTCCGAGATCGAAGCCTGGCACCCGGGGGTGTTCAGTGATTGTTGAAAGGGTGAATGAACGCGCGCAGCGGGCTTTCCGCCGGAGGGTTGTGCCAGCGCTGCAGATGCGCGGTCCCATCCCCTCTTCCCAGCATCCCTTGGAGGGAGGCCCCCGTCACTGGTCACTGTGCCCCCTTGCACAGAGGAGAAACCGGAGGCGTCGAGACGCTACGCACATACACCCTCCGCCCAACCCCTCAAGACCGAAGCCCAGAAGCAGAGCTGACCTGTGTCCTCTGGGCTGGGTTAAGGCTCGGGCCCCGGCACTCACCTGTGGGCCAGTGGAGGGGGGCAGCCGAGCCGGACCGGGGGTCCCGGCCAGCCGGGGCTCTCTCAGGGGCCCTGGCAGAGGGGCTGGCGTTTGGACAGGTTCAGCCTGACCCTCTTGGGAGGGGGATCCCAGACTCGGACCTGTAAGAGATGGGGACCTAGCTCCCAGGTACAGCTCCCGGCCCCGGCCTGGAGATGGGGCTGCCGCGGCCAGCCCGGGGCGGTGGGTGCTGAGCCAGCCCGCCCCCACTCGCCTGCCCACGGGCCCCCGCCACTGCAGCGCAGACTCCCGGGCGCTGCACATCTCTCCCCACACATCGCTCCCCGCACCCGCACACCTCCCCGCTCTCCCACTTCCCTACCCCACCTCACGCTGCCCCAGCTCAGCCCAGAAAGGGCCAGCGAACCCTGTGATTGGCCAGTGGGTCCTTGGTACCGGGAATTTACACAGCAGGACAGGGAAAGGAAGGAAGTGGGGTGGGCGGGGTGAGGGAGGGGCTATATTTATATCAGTGTCCAGGCCTGGGAGCCTGCTCGCCATGGACACTGCCGGGCGCAGCGGGTGGGACGGCGGGCTCCTCGAGGTCCCCGGAGGTATGAGTGGGCCGCCTCGCTGGGCCCCGTGGGTCCCTCTGAGTTGGGCTTGGATGGGGGAAGGGAGGAGAACAGCCTGCAGAGGGAGCAATTCGTGGGCACAGGAGAGACCCCACAGGCTCAGGGGCAAGTGGACATAGGTCCAAATTTCAGCTCTGTCACTGAAGGGCTGTGACCATAGGCAAGTCCCTTGGCCTCTTGGAACCCTAGTGTCCCGGGACCCACGCGTCCAGGCCACCGTCCTCAGGGCCCAGGGAGCCAGGACTGCCCTGGTACAGGGGGGACCCAGAGTCTGTCGTCACCCAAGGGCACTGCGGACGCTGGGGGCGGCGACTCCCCTTCCTGGCCCTGGCTCTCCTGGTCACCACAGTCCTGTGGGTCCTCATCCTGAGTGTCCTACTTTCCAAGGGTGAGTGACCATGTACCATCGGGACGTTGTGTCCCACCCCGCCCCCCGACTTCCAGCATAGTTCTTCCCTCCGCCCCAGGGCGCCCAGCCGGGTCCCGGACCCCAGCCTGGGGTTGAGGGTGAACCCGTGTGAACAGCGCGTGTGCATCTTCGAGCTGTGTGCACGCACACGAGTGTGCCTGTGTGTGCATGAATGTGTGCGCCTGGCCCCGTGTGCCTGTCTCCCCTCGGCGCATGGGCGCATCATGTGCGCTGTACCCCTGCCCGCTCCTTCCGTGCGTGCCAAGACTGGGGTCCCCATACCCCTCGGGGGAGGGCAGAGTTCCCGAGTGCCGGGGCCGCGCCTGCAGGAGCCTCTCTCCACAGCCTCCTCGCAGCACGGGGAGTTGCTCGGGCAACAGGACCTGCTGACAGCAAACGGTGCGTGCAGACCAGGGGCTGCTGGGTTTGTGAGTAGGTGGGCGGGTACCGCAGGGCATCCGGAGCTGGCCCCGGAATGGGGAAGGGCGTCCCACGAGTCCCCGCGGGTGACCTGGCATGTGTGGGTCGGGCGGGGTCGTTCCAGCCTCGAAGCAGGCGGTGGTGCTGGGCGCCTTGAAGGAAGAGCTCGGAGACTGCAAGAGCTGCTGTGAGACTTGCGGGCTGGGAGGCGGGGCCTGCGGGCTCGGGCGGGTCTTGTGGGCTGGGGGCGGGGCCTGTGGCGGCGGCGGAGGGCGGTCGCAGACGTACGGCCGCACCCCCGCCCCTCCTAGGCGGGAGCTCGCAGACGCAGCTGAAGACCGCGCGCACGGAGCTCGCCCAGGCGCAGGTGAAGCTGATCCAGCAGGAGAGCGCCTTGCAAGAACTGAGCGAGCGCGGTGAGGGCGGGACGCCGCCACGACCCGATCCCTCACCAAACCAGTCCCCGGACCCGTGATTTACATCCTGACCTTTGCGATCCTGACCTCTAACCCCGATCGCGCCCCATCCTCACCCTGAGCCCCGCACTCCGCCCCTTGACTACACCTCTTAACCCCATCCCCACGGGACCCTCCCAGCATTAACGGACCTCGACCTTGATTATTCTGGACCGTAACACTGACCACGGACACCGATCCTGCCCCTTACCTGATCTCAACCCTACGCCTGTCCCTGACCCCCGTACACGTAACCTGGACTCCTCTCACCTCGCAGTGACCCAGAGCTTGGCTCAAGCGGGAAGGGACCGCGAGGACATCCGCAGTGAGCTGTTCCGGGCGTTGGAGGCCGTCCGCCTCGGAAACGGTGAGTCGGACAGGGCGGGGGAGAGCGCAGGGGGGTAAGTGGGCCCTGCGCGCCCTTTCCATGGCTCTGCCCCTGCGGCCCCCACCGCCCTCCGTCGGCTCCGCCTGGGAGCCGTCTACTTCGTTGGCCTTTGCCTCCCCACAGAGTCCTGCGAGCAGTGCCCCGCGTCGTGGCTGCCCTTCCAGGGTTCCTGCTACCTTTTCTCGGTGCAGCGGGCCCGATGGGAAGAGGCGCAGCAAAACTGCGCGGGCGCGGGTGCGCACCTGGTGATTGTCGGGAACCTGGAGGAGCAGGTGCAGACCTGGGCAGTGGGTTCGCAAGCGGGAGGAGGAGCTCGCCGGAGCGGTCGCGGCCCGGGAAGTGTGGACGCACCGACTGCGCCAGCGGTGACCTCACTCCACCTTCCACCTAGGGCTTCCTCGCTCGTAACACGCGAGGCCGCGGTTACTGGCTGGGCCTGAGGGCCGTGCGCCGCGCGAGCAAGATCCAGGGCTATCAGTGGGTGGACGGAGTCCCGCTCAGCTTCAGGTGAGAAAAGGGACGTGGGGAAAGGGACAGGTCAGCCCCTAAGGGTAAGTCCCTTGGACAGATCTCAGGGACCCCTTAGGGATGGGCAAGCTAGCCACCAGGAACTGGCTGAGGGACAAATTCTGGGCTTTATAGAGTGATATCCCAGGTGCTCGCTTAAGTTAGACTGTCAGGGCGACGAGGTTAGTTTCAGGCAAGGACAGGCTGGACCTCAGGGCGGTCCTCAGCCCAACCCTGAGCCCCATCCGCGCCACACCCCTGCAGCCACTGGAACGTGGGCGAGCCCAATGATTCGATGGGGCGCGAGGACTGCATCATGATGCTCCGCACCGGGTTATGGAACGACGCCCCGTGTGACAGTGAGAGGGACAGCTGGATCTGCGAGAAGAGGCTCAGCTGCTGAGCCCCCCCGAGGGCCATGGGCAGGCGCACTGCCGCCTGCGCCCCGGCCCCAGCACCTGCCCCCAGCACTTGCCCCCCTGGCCATTCCGCCCGCGGACTCCTGTGTGTCTTTTCTTCTCCCTCCCACCACCACTGAGGAGAAACGGCCCCGCTCAGCCGGGCCCAGTGCCTGCGCTATGGAACCTCCACTCCAACTACTCCCCTCCCTCGCGGAGCGGGGTTCACCTCCTCCTGTTCCAAAATGCTGGCTCCTGGGCCCTGTGATCTGACGCCACGTCCCTCTCTAGCCAAGGTCAAATGGCTCAGAGTACAAGCTGTTTGGTTTTCCCGCCTTTCCCCCCAGACTGGGAGGCCTCAAAGATAGGGGTTCTGCGACCCCCTTGCCCTTCCGGACCCCCGAAGCCCAAGGCCGCACCAACACACGTTTGGGATAGGAATCTGGCTCCCGGCTGTGCAAGCTCTTCTGAGCTTTATGCCAGAGGCTCTGACGTGATTCCTGCGAGTGCCCCCAACTTCTCTGCCTGACCTCAAGGCTCTAGGATGCCCCGAAACCCAGCGAGGGGCCTGCGAGGGGCCAGGAGGGCTGTGGGCGCCCGGCACACACCAGTGAGGCCGGCCCTGTCCTGGCCCCCACCTCTGCCCGGCTGTCTCGTTCTGGGCCCGCGGGGCCCAGGGACAGCGGGACCAGTGACTCCAGGGAGGAGTGCTCCACGGAGAGATGCCAGCTGCTTCCGAAGGGGCCAACTGTGTCCTCGGGGAGAGAGGCTGTGCTGAGACACCAGAGTGGTGGCCCCTTTTCTGGAAGAGACTGTCACTGCATTGTGGCGACTTCAGGCGGCCTGAGACCAGGCCCTGAGGCGGCTGTGAGAGGGGCTGCTGCGGTCTCGGGCACTGAGCGTCTGTGGCCGCTGGGTGACACGGTCGGGAGATACATCCCAGAGAAGATGGACTTTCGAGGAACAACGGGATTTCAGCACGTGGAGCTGGGAGGGAGGGGCGCAGGGGCAGTGTGGGAAGCTGTGAAGTAGGGCTGCGCCCACTGATGGGGCACGGGGGCCACAGAGCCTGGCCTCATCAGCTGGGGGCCTTTGATCTGGATTCACTCTGCACTCCCAAAGTTTCCCGCCCCGGTCCTGGGGCCAGGGGCTCCCCGAAATTTCCGGCGGAGTCAGGTCTCACTCAGGGGTGAGAACTGAGTCCGAAACCAGAGCTGCTGCAGCCCCCGGATGCCCGGCCCTGAGGGCGCCGGTTGAGCAGGGCACAGAGGACCGCCCACTGCCCTGCCCAGCGGCTCCGAGCAGCGCCCTCTGCAGCCGCCGCTCAGACCGGGGCGCAGGCAGGCTCGGGAGCTGTCCGAGCCCTGGACAGAGCGCATGCCTGGTGACCCGTCGGCCAGACTGACAGGTCCTCAGACGGTCAGCTTGCGGGGGTGGATGTGTTCGTTAGGGTTGCCATAGCAAATGACCGCCGCTGCTGGCTTAAGACAGCACACGCTGGGGGCCTGGCCGGTGGCGCAGCCGGTTGGAGCGTCATCCCGTCTGCCTGCAAGTTCTGGGTTCAGTCCCTGGTCAGGACACATGCCTGGGCTGTAGGTGTGTTCCTCGGCCAGGGCAGGTACTGGAGGCAATGGGTCGATGTTTCTCTCTCACGTTGATGTTTCCCGCTCTCTGTCTAAAACCAATAAACATGTTCCCAGGTAAGGAATTTTAAAAAGCCCTGGTTGGTGTGGCTCAGTGGATTGAGTGTCAGCCTGCGGACCAAAGTGTCGCCGGCTCGGTCTCCAGTCAGGGCACGTGCCTGGGTTTCTGGCCGAGTCCCCAGCAGGGGACTCGTGAGAGGCAAGCACACATTGATGTTTCTCTCTCTTCCTCCCCCCTTCCCGCTCTCTTAAAATTCATAAACGCATTCTTTTAAAAAATAACTTAAAAAAAAAGACAGCACACATTCTGTCCAGTACAGAAGCCCACAATTAGTTTCGCTGAGCTGAAATCCAGAGTCACCAGGACCGGCTCCCTCCGGAAGCTCCGTGGGAGAGTCTGCTTCCCTGTCTTCCAGCTTCTATCGCAGCAACCCGTCCATTCCCTGGACCGCGTCCCCTTCTTCCGTCTCAAAGCCAAAAGCGCAGCACCCCGCCTCCGCTGCCACGGGGCCTCCCCCTCTGGGCCCGCCCCCCTCCGCCTCCCTCCTGTAAGGACGCTGGCGGCCGCACCTGAAGGTCCACGCGGAAAACCCAGGGCGATTCCCTGTGGCGCTGCAATGAGGCACGTTAGTGCAGACGCCGCGCACAGATCAAGGGCTCCGTCCCTAACAGGACTGCCCTAACTGCGAGTTCGGGGTTCTCCAAGCCACCCACACGTGCGACCCGCTGCTTCTGACCGAGCGATACAGATTCAGAGGCTCTCACAACCCCCTCTCGTTCCAGGGTTTGTCGGAATGGCTCAGAACTCAGGCAAGCCCTGTGTTTACAGGGGTGTTACAAAGAACACAAACGCAGACCAGCCGAAGGAAGGGCCCACGGGCGAGGGCCGCGAGGGCCCCCACGCAGGGCCCCCCGGGCTCTCTCCCAGCTTCCCAGGGCCCTTCCGTGCGCCCGCCGGCTAGGAGGCCCTGTGAGCATTGGTGTCCAGAGTGTTTTTGGCTTTCATTAGGGAGCTGTGATGGGTGAACCCTTGCTCAGGGGCCTGCTCGGCATCTCCAGCCGCCGCCCTCCCTGGAGGGGGGGCTGGCTGAGTGCCCCTCCCCTCGTGGTTGGTCTTTCTGGCATGATCAGCCCCCACCCTGAGCCGGCTCTTCGATACAAACTCAGGCAAGAGCCAACGCGTCCCCACGAAGATGAAAGACACTCCTAGCGCTTGGGAAACCCCAGAGGTTTAGATGCCCCTTGCCAAGAGCCAGGGACAAAGATCAATCCAATTCTTTAACACATAACGCTGACCCCCAATCTCTAAATCCTTCATCGCGTCGGCCAACTCTCTGTCGCTATGGAAATAAACCGGTCACAAAAGGACGGGCCCGGTATCGTTTCACTTGCTTGAGTACCTGTGAGGCAGGAGGTAGTGTAGGAAGGGCTCTGAGACGGCGCGGCTGCTGCGGGCCCCGCGGCCAGCGTCCCGGCGGCCAGGGAACCCCTCTTAGCACTTAGGCGGAATGAGGAGCCAACCAAGGCAGGGAGGAGGAGGCGGGCGGGTCTCATCCACCGACTCAGCAGTCCTGAGCCTGGTCCGATAATAGTGCCAGGTGCTCCAGCCTCGCAGGAAACACCCCCTGAGCGGGAGGAGGGCGGTCTCTGGATCTCCGTGGACCGTCCCCACTCTCTGGGAAAGAGAGCCTTGAAGCTGTGCTCCCACCCCAAGGCACAAAAGGCGGGAAAGGGTCCACAGCGTCCAAGGGAAGAAGCCCACAAGACAGCTTTGGTTAATGGCCTACCTCTGGGCACTGTGTTTTATGAGAGGGCCCTAGGGCTTAGAGAAAGAGCGTAGGAAGAACTTTGGGTAAGCACCGCAATGATGATTAACTGCATCCAGTCAGGGGTCTGTTTCAGGACAAGGTGAACACGCGGAGTGTGGAGCGAGGCAAGGATTCGGGCTACCAGACCCCCACTGACTCCTGCGTTTCGGCGGTCACCTGCCCCGGGGAAGCTGGCACCGCCTTGACCTGTCAGCCAACATGTAACTTCTTCACCCCCGCCCCACCAACTACGTAAGTCCTCAGGACAAATGACCTGGGTCGCGCGCTGGCCACCGGCCTTCAGCCGCCCTTTCTTGCGCAGCCACGCTCCACCCTGAACCCATGCCTGTCTCCGCCCCGCCCCGCCCCGCCCCACCCCGCCCCACCCCTGCCCTTAGCTGGGCCCTCCTCTTCCATGGCAACGGATCTCCAATAAACCCTGCATGCAGGCACGCAAATAGACTTGCTGATCTGTGTGCCTTTACATGCATCAGGAAGAAGGCCAGGTTTCTCCCGTTAACAGCTAGAGCAGTGAAATCGCAAATACAGAAAGTAGAATGGTGGGCGCCAGGGCCTGGGGGGAGAGCAATTGGAGGAGTCACTCGATGAGTATGGGGTTCCAGTTTTGTGAGGAAAGAAACTTCTGGAGACTCGTTGTTCGATGTGGATATTCTTCATGCTACTGGACTGTCCACTAAAAATACTTAAGATGTAAACTTTATGTTACATGTAAGTATTTTATACCCCAATTGAAATGTTAGAAAATTTCAATGCACCCATTTGAGCTCCAGGCAGAGTTTTGAGAAATGTGTCCAGCTGTGTCGCCACCCCCACGCTCCAGCGACAAACCCTTTCCCTCGCACCCTCCCGGCCGGCCCCCGCCCCCGCCCCAGGCCCCAGGGCTGCACCCAGCACCCTTGCCTAGGCTTGTCGCTTCTCAGACATCCGATAAATGGATTCACACCGCACGTCGGCCCTCGTGCCTAGATGCTCTCTCTGTGCCAAACACCTTCGAGAGTCGTGCACGCTGTTGTGCGTGCCCTGCTTTGTCTCTTTTCATTGTTCACGCGCCTTCCACCCCATGGCCGGTGGCCACTCTGCGTGCCATTTGCTGTGGGCTGACGTTTGCCCTGTGTCCAGTGTCAGTTACTATGAATTAAACTGCTGTGAACCTTCTTGTACAGATTTTTTTTTTTTCTCCTCTCCAGAGATGAGTTTCCCCGTCCAGATTCCGTCGTAAGGAGGATTATTGGTCTGGTGAGCTAACGTTTCTTTGGTCTGAAGAAACGGGTGGATTTTAGGCGATGTAGCAAGAAACTTCAGCAAAGGCCGGCTGAACCACAGAAAGCCGGCAAAACCAGAAATAAATCCCAATGTGCTGGGGAGGAAGAGAACCATTCCCTCCGGGACTCCTGCGTGGAGAAACACAGGCAAGCAGCGGGCGGCGGGGCAGAAGGGAGAGGGAGACACGGTCCAAGCCCTGGAAAGTCAGTCCTCTCTCCTCATCGGCTACCGCACCGCCCAGATCGTTGAAACGGGTCTTGCCCAGGCGAT